GTGAATGGGGGTTGAATGGGCAGGGAGGTTGTTATGGGGGGACAGGACTGCAGGGGTGGGGGGCTGGGACTCCAACGGCATGGGTCAGGAAATGAGGCGGCAGAGGGGGGAAAGCAGCCTGCGGTTGATAAGGGCTGCCTGGGTCATGCCTGCGGGACCCAGATAAAACCAGGGGTGTGGGGGGCAGGAACCCAGCCCCATGGCCTGGCCCGGATTCCAGCCCCCAGGGCAGCGGGGGGGCAGCCCACAGCTGGCGGGTTGTTATCACTGGGTCTCCATTGTCAGAGCTTCCAGGGGGGACATGCCCGAGGTAGTTATTGTAGGGTCTCCTTGGAGCCCCACGGCCATATGTCTCTGTGCTGAGCTGGGGGGCGGGGTCTGTTCTCCAACCCCCCCCCATAGACAGGGCAGGGCCGGGACCCCCCCGCCCCGCTGCACAGCTCATTCCAGGGCGCTGAAGTCAGCGGGTTGGTTTGTTTTCTGTTGAAGGAAAGGAGCAAAGAAAGGATGCGAGGCCTGGGAGGAGACACGTTTCACCTTGCCCCAGCCCCCCTCGTGCCAGAGAGTTCACTTTGCACCAGCCCCCGTGCCAGGCTATGGGTCAGCAAGCAGGGGTGGAGGTCGGGGGGTCAGGAGGCCGGCGTGTGACCGTGTGCGTAACCAGGGGGCGAGGCGGGGTGGGGGTGTCAGCGCCCCCTGGTGGAGGGAGGGGATGGGAGATGCCGTGTGTGTGTGTAGCACACGCGTGTTCGTTGCGGTGTGGTGCAAACAGCTCTGGTTCCTGTGCACACGTGTTCCCCAGCTCATGTGACACGGGGACCCGCTGTGCAGGGCAAGTTTGGGGGCTGGTGTCTCAGTGCGGGGGGGGCTCACAAGTGCACTAACCCTGACCTCCCCAAGCTCAGGGCCCCCCCTCAAACACAGCGACTCCCCCCCGCTCACCAAACCGAGACACAGAAATGAACCGTCAGGGTCACGCCTACGTCCAGACCCGGCCACGCTCTGACAGACGGCAGGGCCCGGCCACGCCAGCAGGGGGCGGCAGGACACAGGGCCCCACGGCCAACACCTTCACATCCTGACTCGAGCCCCAGCCAGGCGGCACCGACCCCAACCCAGCCCCACAGCGGGGACTGGCTGGCTCGGGGGGCGGGAATGGGGCCTGTCCCCTCTAGGGGGCGCTGGCCCCGATCCATCCCCACAGCGGGGACCGGCTGGCTCAGGGGGGCGGGGAATGGGGCCTGGGGCCTGTCCCCTCTAGGGGTCGCCGGCCCCGATCCATCCCCACAGCGGGGACCGGCTGGCTCAGGGGGGCGGGGAATGGGGCCTGGGGCCTGTCCCCTCTAGGGGGCGCCGGCCCCGATCCATCCCCACAGCGGGGACCGGCTGGCTCGCAGAATGGGGCCCTGGCCCCAACCCGGGGCCGAGGCTCTGTCCCAGCGCTGGCTCCCTGCCAGACATGGTCACAGAGAGCTAAGGGGGGGAGCGGCCCTCCCAACCCCCCAACGTTCCCTCCATCCAGCCCCATGACCTCAGCCCCTCAGGAATCCTGGGCCCAGAGGAGGTGGAAGGATCATTGAGAAACATCAGCTGGGGCGGGGAACTGGCGTTAACAGGCCAGAGCCCGGACGCCTGGGTTCTCCCCCGGCTCTGGGAGGGGAGGGGGGCTGGTGGTTAGAGCAGGGGGGTGGGGAGCCCCAGGACTCCTGGGTTCTCTCCAGAGCCTGTGCTCTCACACTCGGCCCCGCTGTGGGGAGGCAGAAGCTGTGAAGCCGACGCCCGCTCATTGGGGAAGTGAGAAACCCAGCAGGGTGGGGACGGACCCCGGCCCCTCGTGTGGTTTGGGTTCCTCCCAGGAAACCTCGCCCGCCCTGCCCAGGGGGGTGAACGCGGCTCCCACCTCTGCCGGGGGCACTAACCCTTCGCTGCTGAGAGCCGAGCCTGGGAGCGGGGGAAGGGGGGGAGCCAGGACTCCTGGGTTCTCTTTCCAGGGGCCTCTGGGTGGGGAGTGGGAGCGGGTGGGTCAGGGCTGGAGGGGTCCCTGTGCCTCAGTTTCCCAGCATGGGGTTCTGGCTCCGTGATCCTGCACAGCCCAGCCCCCCTCACTTTCCCTCCCATGGCAGAGGAATTCGGCCCAGAGCTGAGTCATGGTGGCTCCCTGTAAACACGGCCCCAGGCCTGGAGCCGCTTCCTTATAGGGCAGATTCTAGCCCCCGCCAGCGCCCTGCTCCCTCCCCGTGCCAGAAATAGAACCCAGGCGTCCTGGCTCCCAGCACCCCCCCCAACCACCAGCCCCCTCCCCTCCCAGAGCCGGGGCAGAACCCAGGAGTCCGGCTGCTTACGCAGGCTCCCTGCAGCTCAGCGCCCCCTAGTGTCCGCACTGGGGCTGGGACCTGAGGGGGCCCTGCCTAAGGGGGGCAGGAGGGAGCTGTGGTCTCTGGCTCCCCCTGCTGGTCAGATGCAGACATGCAGGGATCATGAGGGGGTGGGGAGCAGGAGCAGAGCTGCAGGACACCTGGGTTCCCTCCCTGGGCCCTGCCTCAGTTTCCCTGGCTGGGAAAGGGGAACAATGATCCTGCCTCTGTCTGTCAGATCGTGAGCTCTTTGGGGGCAGGGGCATCTCACCCTGTGGGTCCGCGGGGGGGTCCACAGGGGGAGGGGCCCAATCTCAGTTGGGGGGGAGGGGAGGGTCTGCATGTGTGTGTGGGGGGGCGATCTCGGATAATTAGCACTAGTTAATAATTAATTACTCTTTTATTATCCCAGGAACAGTGGGACAGCAGCTCCCTTGTGAGATGGGGGCCCTGGAGCCCCCCACCCTTCTCCCCTCCCCCGGCCCGGTCCTGGGGTCACCCCGGCAGCCCCCCAGCAGCGGCCAGGCGGGCCTGGTAGCGCCGGCGCAGCTCCTCCATCTTCACGGCTGAAACAGAAACAATTCACGTCAGTTCAGCAGCTGCCCCCAGCCCCCCAAGCCACGCCGGACGCCTGGGTTCTCTCCCTGCTCTGGGAGGGGAGTGGGGGCTGGTGGGTCAGAGCAGAGGGGGCTGGGAGCCCGGACACCTGGGTTCTCTCCCTGCTCTGGGAGGGAAGTGGGGGCTGGTGGGTCAGAGCAGGGGGGACTGGGAGCCCGGACGCCTGGGTTCTCTCCCTGCTCTGGGAGGGAAGTGGGGGCTGGTGGGTCAGAGCAGGGGGGACTGGGAGCCCGGACGCCTGGGTTCTCTCCCTGCTCTGGGAGGGAAGTGGGGGCTGGTGGGTCAGAGCAGGGGGGACTGGGAGCCCGGACGCCTGGGTTCTCTCCCTGCTCTGGGAGGGGAGTGGGGGCTGGTGGGTCAGAGCAGAGGGGGCTGGGAGCCCGGACACCTGGGTTCTCTCCCTGCTCTGGGAGGGAAGTGGGGGCTGGTGGGTCAGAGCAGGGGGGACTGGGAGCCCGGACGCCTGGGTTCTCTCCCTGCTCTGGGAGGGGAGTGGGGGCTGGTGGGTCAGAGCAGAGGGGGCTGGGAGCCCGGACACCTGGGTTCTCTCCCTGCTCTGGGAGGGAAGTGGGGGCTGGTGGGTCAGAGCAGGGGGGACTGGGAGCCCGGACGCCTGGGTTCTCTCCCTGCTCTGGGAGGGAAGTGGGGGCTGGTGGGTCAGAGCAGAGGGGGCTGGGAGCCCGGACGCCTGGGTTCTCTTGCTGCTCTGAGGGTACTTACGCAGCATTGCTGGGGGGCTGCTCCCTGCCTCGCCGCGTCTCCGCTCTGCCGTCTGCACCGCCTGCTCCGAGGTGTCGCTCAGCTGGGCCAGCGCCTGCAGCTCCTGGGGGAGGCCCGGGGGGGTGAGAACCTGGCCCTCAGGGGCCCCGCCCCATGGACCCTCCCGTTCCACCCCAGGGACTTCGCAGCCCCCCACCCTGCCCCCGCAGGGCCCCACCCCCACCAGGGAGCTTGGGTCCCTGCCCTGGAGCTGGAGTCTCTGAGAGACCCCACCCCTTGGAAGAAGAAGCTTCTAGGGGGCTGTCATTAAGGGCCCACACCCACATGGAGGGGACCCATAGAGACCACGCCCCTTCTCCAGTAGCTCCGCCCCTCCCCATATTGCTGAGGCAAAGGGCCCCTCCCCTAGGGGCGTGGCTAGAGCATCCCCACCCCCTCTGTACCTGGGTGCAGAGGGTGAGCGCCTGGTGCAGGTGCTGGGCCAGGGGCCCACAGGGGCTGAGCCGTGGGGCGGGGCCACGGCCGCAGTGTTCCCGCAGCTCCGTCTCGTACACCTGCCTGAAGGCCGCCATCAGCTGGTGCGAGTCACAGGCCGCCAGCGCCAGGCTCTGCAGGGCCGTGCCGGGAGCCAGGGGCTCCGCGCCCCCCCGC